CTGATGCTTCTGATCGACTGTTCGCCGAAATGGTTTAAATCCCTTATTTAGGTGCGGATGGCCTCGGTAATGTCTTATTTCGTGGTGATCTCGTAAAGGTCCCGAATTTCGACATTACTTCGTGGGTAAGCGCTTTGTACCTGATCGCCTAGCACTTTACATATTCCGCTCTTAAACTCTCCCATGCTTTTCATTTGCGTTTCCTTCAGCTCCAGCAGGACTTCGCCTTTGGCCGTCTTCCTAATTCGCGATACATTCTCGCCGAGTTTTTGCAAAGCATCATATTTTTTCATCGCCCTTAAGATGTCGCTGTAGGACATATCTCCATTTCGCGCTATAACTATAGCATCGAGACGTGGGGGCGGCTTGTACGTTGTCTTCTTGCTGCTTCGTGGTTTACATTTCACCGCTATCCAGCCTTTTCCTTTTTGCTCCTCCTTTTCTTTGTTCTTGGTAGGGCGACTATCTTTCGCCTCCTTACTCAAGATGGTTTCAGACTTCCTTGGCACCTCTTCATGTGTGGTTTTGTTCTTCTTAGGTGGCGTTCTTCGCTTCGGCTGGTTTTCGTCGCGGGGCCTCTTTGGGGGGGTTTCCGCAGTCGTGATGAGGACGTTCCGTCTGTCTTCTTTTATTCTGATGTACTCCTCATGTGCATTTGCATGCAACTTTGCTATTTGGCTGACAATGTCCCTCATGTTGTTGTTGATTGAGCGCTGAGGTGGGCGCATTACATCCATCAGCTTCTTGATTGCATCGCCTAGCTCCGACATATATTCTCCGCGCGATCGCACTGCTTTCGCCTGTGGCGTGCTATCCTGCACCGCTGGTGGTGACGACCTCGCTCGTACTGCCTTCTCTACGTTGAGCACATTTGTAAGCGACCGAACCAGTCGTGATGCGTGCTTGAAAGGGTCCATTTCCGCAATCGGTCTTCTCATGGACGGCTCTGTCTCGGACACTTTGCCACTACCATCATCCAAGCTTTCAGTGGCGCTGCTCATTATGATGCTGTATATGTTGATGCTGCTATTGTTGATTTTTGTAACTTCCTGCAAGTTCGAATAAAAACCTGTAAATTCATTGAGTACCGGATCAGAGCTAATACAAGATTGCACAAAGAGAAGACGAGAGTATGAGGAAATGCCGAACAAATTAATTTAGCTTCCCGTTTTGCAAACAAAAGATGGTATGTTATATGTATTCGTAACTTTAGCGTAAACCTAGCGACAGATGAAGCAGNGAAAACAGTAATTGATGCGGCGTTTTCAAGATATTTTAACGCCCTTGAGTCACAAGTATATACAAGTGTCATATTTTATCAATCATACCGATGATTTCATGTATTAAAAGAATTTACAATGAAAATGAATACAAATAAAATAAATCAGCAAATTGAATAAAATAAAGTGAAGTTAATATTTAATTTCTAACCTAACCTACATGTGTATGTATGTTACTGAATCGCATAATAATAGCTTTACATATAAAAAGATTATCCACATTTTCGAGCTTAACTCCCTAATCTGTAGTTAGAAAAAGAGATTAGCCATACAAAATTATAATTATAAAATTAAATTTTACAAAGGACGACGGAAAATCGTTCCACATTAAATCACACTGCCACCATGTCGGAAACACCAACAACAAAAATTAGAATAAAATTATCCCATATTCAACCGATAACTTTTTGGTGTCCAACCTAGTTTTAACGATTATACTTGCAAAGAAGAGGAGGAATGTCAAATGTAAAACTAAACAAAATTTGACGCTAGTAAGGAAAAGAGGTTTGTAAAGGTATTTTTAATATAATATTCCGTTAAAATATATTTAAATAGTATAATATGTGTAGCAGAAACAAGTGACCACGGTGGCACAGAGAAGAAGTTTAACTTTTCCTCGAGTTGTGTGAATAACCAGCACAACCAATTTGACAGCTAACGAGCTTTGATTGAGATTATATCTATATATATAAAAATGTTGTGTTCGTATGTCACGGTCGTCAAAACTCGAGAACGGCTAGGTATAATACCAGAACCAATGATATCACAAAAAATTGGAGGGTTGCCACCTATTTGAAAATTTTTAAACCCAATTATATTGATCAAATAAACAAATTATTACAATATGGGTATCAAATTAAAGATATGGGCATCAATAAAAGAGAGATTAAGAAAGAAAACTGCTGGAAATATCTTTTACGAGGGTTGTCACCTATTTGAAAATTTTTACAGTCATATTGATAAAATAAAGGAAATATTGCTATGTGGGTGTCGAACTAAAGAGTTTTAAGAAGGCCTACAGCCGAAAATATGCTTGAAGAGGGTTGCCACCTGTTTGAAAATTTAACTAAAGTACATGGATAAAATAAATTAAATAGATATTACAATATGAGTATCAAATTATAGAGGTTTAAGAAAGATAACTGTTGGAAATATTTTTGAGAAGGGCTGCCACCAATTTTAAAATTTAAACTCAGTTAAATTGATAAAGTAAATGAAATATTGATATGTGCGTAACAAACTAAAGAGTTTTAAGAAGGCTTACAGTCAAAAATATTTTAAAGGACGGTTGCCACCTGTTAAAAAATTAGCGCAATTTAATTGATAAACTAAATGATATATTACAATATAGATATTAAATTTAAGAGGTTTAAGAAAGATAACTGCCGGAAATATTTTTGAGTAAAATTGCCACATCTTTGAAATTTTAAACTCAGTTATTATGACAAAATAAATGAAATACGGTAATTTAGGTATCAAGCTTTAGATTTTTAAGAAGGCTTACAGCCGAAAATATGTTTGTGGAGTGTTGCCACCTGTTTGAGAATTAAACTCAATTTATTGGAGAGTTGCCACCTGTTTGAAAATTGTTAAATCCAGTTATATTGATAAAATAAATGAAATATAAGATATCTGTTGGAATACTTTTGAGGAGGGTGCCTCCTATTTAAAAATCTTAACTCATTTATATTGATAAAGTAAATGAAATATTGCAATGTGGGTATAAAATTAAATAGGGGTAAGAAAGATATCAGCTGGAATACTTTTGAGGAGGGCTGCCACATGTTTGAAAATTTAACTCAATTTGAAGGTCAAATGAATGACCTATTATAATATAGGNTTGGAATACTTTTGAGGAGGGTGCCTCCTATTTAAAAATCTTAACTCATTTATATTGATAAAGTAAATGAAATATTGCAATGTGGGTATAAAATTAAATAGGGGTAAGAAAGATATCAGCTGGAATACTTTTGAGGAGGGCTGCCACATGTTTGAAAATTTAACTCAATTTGAAGGTCAAATGAATGACCTATTATAATATAGGTATCAAATTAAAGACGTCTAGGAAATATGACTGTTGGAAATATTTTTGAGGAGGGTTACCACCTATTTGAAAATTTTAGTTCAGTTAAATTGATAAAATAAATGAAGTATTTCAATACGGTTATTAAACTTAACATTTTTAAGAAGGCTTACAGCCGAAAATATGTTTGAGGAGGGTTGTTATCTGTATTAAAATTTAACTCAATCTAATTAATAAAATAAATAACTTATCGTATAGGTGTCAAATTAAAGAGGTTTAAGAAATATGAATGTTGGAGACATTTTTGAAGAGAGTTTCCACCTATTTAGAAATTTTAACTCAGTTAAATTGATAAATACATGCAATATTGCAATGTGGATATAAAACTAAATAGAAAGATAACTGTTGGAAATATTTTTGAGAAGGGCTGCCTACTATTTGAAAATTTTAACTCGATTAAAGTGATAAAATAAATGAAGCATTGCCATGTGGGAATCAAATAAAATAGGTTTCAGAAAGGTTACTCTTGAAAATATATTTGAGGAGGGTTGCCACCTATTTAAAAATTTAACTCGGCTAAATTTATAAAATAAATTCAATATTGCAATGTGGGTATCAAATTAAATAGAGTTTAGAAAGGTGACTGTTGGAAATATTTGTTAGAAGCGTTGCCACCTATTTTAAAATTTTCACTCAATTAAATTTATAAAATAAATGAAATATTGCCTTGTAGGTGTCGAAACTAAAGAGTTTTAAGAAGCCTTACAGCAGAAAAATGTTTGAGGAAGGTTGAAAACTAACTCAACTCTGGTTGAAAATCTAACTCAATTTAATTGATAAAATAAATGACATATTACAATAGAAATATGACTGTTGGAAATATTTTTGAGGAGGTCTGCTTCCTATTAGAAAATTTTAACTCAGTTAAATTGATAAAATAAATGAAATATTGCAATCTCGGTAACAAGCTTTAGATTCTTATTAAGGTTTACGGCCGAAAATATATTTGAGGAGGGTTGCCAAAAGAGGGTTGTCGAAAGCTTAATATGTTGCACCAATGTATTTTCAATATAAAGCGATAAAATAAATAAACCAACGAAAATTTGGTCCTTTGTCAAATATGTTTGATTTATTATTATTATTTATTTATGGATATGTACAAATGTAAAAATGTAATGTAAAATATGGGTGATTTGGAAATATTTTTAATAGGATTATCACCTATCTAAAAGTAAAGACGGAAAATATTGAAATTAAATGAAATATCACATAACTGGTACCAAACGAAAAGTGTTTGGGAAAGCTTTACTAGGGCTTTTTTTTAATCTTTCCACTTAGCGAAACTCCGAATAGTTTAAAAAAATATAATTTACAACATCTTATAAAACCAAGAGATAATATTATCACACAATTTACTAAATGTAAAAAATTAATAAGCAAGTAATTTTTAAGTAAACAAGTAAGAAAGTCTAAGTTCGGGCGGAGCCGAACATTAAATACCCGGCGCTAGTATTAAATGTATGTTTTCCACCTTTCCGAAAGCTACCGCTACATGATAAGCCGGGGTGTATACATTTTAAGTAAATTAGCGTCCTTAAATTTCGAAATATTGAAATTTCAAGCATATC